GATTTATGTGAACTCCCATGTGTGATTTGGTTGAGTATAGTGCCGAGTCAAGGTGTTCCAACGTCCACAGGACTTCACGAACAACTTAGTCGAATCAAGTTCGACTAAGCCTGATTATTGTTTTCCGTTTAAGTCAAGATATTGATTGTAGGATCTTGACTTAATGTAGGTGTTTGAGGAGTCAAGCCTCGACCTACGTCCTTTCTAATTTTGCTATCGTCAATCCGAACTACCAGGTGGGTTAGTTATTCTAAAATACCTGTGCAATGTGTGTGTAAATATGTTTTCTGATTTGGCGTGATCTATGTATGAACGTGAATATGTAGTCTACCGATGTGAGCTGTTACGGCTGTCGGTACGGTTGTCCCCGTCGATGTAATACGGTTGCCCATTGCGAGGCAAGTCTCCTTAAGACCTAATGAAAGGCCGTTGCCCGTTGCGTGGCATGTACTCTCGCCGTTAGGGTAATGAATCCCCTTTCCGCGACTAATGAAAGAAATGTACACAGGAGTATTTATGTTTATGTTATGTTGGAGATGAGACATATGTGATATTGTTTATGTTCATGCTGCGACCATGCCTATTTAACATATTATAAAATGTGCATTGCCTAGTGTGAGCATTATTTTCACCTTATGCTCACTCCCACCTGCTCTTAACGGATGCAGGTTAAGCAGTGGCGCGTGACGAGACAAGGCGAGTGGTGGTCTTGCCTGTTATTTATGCTTATTAATTTGCTTCCGCTTTTTTATGAACTTATGTCGGTTTATTAGAACATGATGGTTGTTTGGATTTTGAAAGCATGATGATTTGAGCATTTTGATAACGTTTTGGATTTAGTTATGTTGAAAAACCTTCCTTTGATATGTGGTTGAGAATATCATGACGTTTATGATTATTATTTATGTTGTTAATGAAAACTGTTGGAAAATCGAGTAATGAATCCCTGTAGTTCAGATATGACTTCAACTGTATTTTGGAAAGAATGAGTAACGCCAAAAAGTTTATGTTTCGAAAGATGAATTTCGAAAATTTTTACCTTGATTTTTGGAAAAGCCATGAATTTTCTTTAAAAATCGATTTGGGCATTACAGTCGTCGTCTTCCACGTCTCGCCCACCGGAGTCCCTGTCATGCTTCCCTCTGTCGCAGCCAGCACTGCCACCATCACACTGCTGACGACGATGATAACAATCATCAACAGCAACCGCCAATCTCGTCCCTTCGCCGCAACGAGGGAAAACTCAGCCCGACTGATAGTCGATACATTCTACTTGTTCTCTGGATGTCGTTGGCAGTCTAATTTCCGATTGATATATCGACGGACAATGGATAGCGGATGATAGAGGCTGGGCTCAATACACCGGCGAGTCGCCGAGAGAGGGATAAAGTGAGAGACCTGAACTGGGGGGAAGAGGGCATAAGGTGTAAGAGAAAATGAATTGGGGTTTGGTGATTAATTGGGTGGATATGTACAAAATTATACACTTTCCCTTAGATGTTTAAATTTGACCAAGAGATATCAAGTTATTTACCATATTCCTATTAATAATTGACCAATGTTTGACTTCATCATGACCATTGATATATTGGATCTAATGGTCCAAATCATTCTCATTTCTTTCACCATCTTTCTTTCTCATTTGATCCCAATTCTATAGAATTGGGATCAAATGAGAAAGAAAGATAATGAAAGAAATAAGAATAAATCTATACCATTGGATCCAACATATTAATAGTCATGATCAAGTCAATTTCTAAATATGGTTGTCAAACATGTAATGATAATTTCATAAATAAGTGTATATTGTGTATACACATTTGACCACTAATTAAGGGTAAAAAAGACATTACAATTTACCTATGGGGCCCACAACAAACACCACTACGTCTCTCTCTCTCTCTCTCTCTCTCTCTCTCTCTCTCTCTCACACACACACACACACACACACACTACACGTAAAACACACATAACACACATCACACGTTCAGACTGGAAACACCAATGGCCGGTAAATATTTAAGCATACCACCGCCGCCAATTCACGCCTGCCACCAGACCACCGCCCGCAGCAAATCATTGTCGCAAGTCACAACCACCGCAGCCAATAGGTCACCACCGCCGCAGCCAACACAGCCCTCCGTCAACACCCGCTGCCGTCAACCACGACTTCAGGCCTACCGGCTATGTCGCATCCAACACCACTCAGCCGCCGTCAGTCCGTCATGTTGCAACCGCTAACAAACCTGCAGCTGCTAAAGTCCGTCAGCCGCAGTCACCCAAATGTCCATGCCCGTCGGTCGCGTTGACTCTGTCACCACCCGCCGTCGTCATTAGCCCGCCTTCCATTTTTGTAGCAGTTGTCAGCCTTGCACCCGCTAAAGACCACCGCCACCACCTGATACCAACCGTACATCCACGACGGCCACCACCAGCGCCCAACAAGGCTACAACCGTAGCCGCCAACCACCCGCCACCACCACCAGCCCATCACCATCAACCACCATTAGTCTCGTTGCTGCCAGCAACAAGTTTTTAATTTTCAGATCTGTTGTGATCTCTTTAAGTTTGTTGGCTGATTTTTGAGAATTTGATATATTAGAGGGACATAGTTGCAATTTTATAAAATTTAATATATTACAATTTGGTTCATGGGTCAAATTTGTACTAAATCAAAACATAATTAGCATTTTAATATTTTCATATATTGGCTGAAAATAAATATTATTTTCACATAATAAATATAAAAAAACTAATAATAAAGTTTTATAATTCAGTCATTTAGTTATTTATATAAAATAATTGAATCTAAATATAAAATTTTGAAACCAAAAAATTTAGTTTAGCTGGGTTGGTTCGATGTTGTGCAATCCGATTGTAATTAATGTTCAATTCCTATAACCCTAATGTGCACTCGCAATATATAAAATATATATAAAAAAGTAATAATAGTATTTTTAATGTAGTTCGTTCGGTTTGGTTATTTAAAGAACTGAAATTACCATGATTTTAAAAAATAGAAATAGCTAATCGAAACAAGATATAAAAATTTTAAGCGGATATTTTAGTTCGGTCAGTTTCTGTCTCTATTGTGCAGTCCGATTGTCACTAATGTGCAATCCAACAATATTTTGCACTTACATCATATACAATTTTAATGATTTATTCCAAACCATCGAAAACCGAACTGAAATAATCAGTTTGTTCGATCGGTTAACCGAATTACCCTAAATAATTGAATTGATTTATTGGTTATGTTATAAAAATACGTTTAGTATTTTCATATAAATATTTAAATTTTATTATTTTTGTTGAAAATGCATAATATATAAAATATCGATATCAATAATGTGCATTCCCCCAGACAATAATGTGTTTTACGTTTACTGTTATTATGCAATCTATTAATCGAGTATTTTTTATGTGCATATTAATCTTAAAAGCATTAATAGTATGTATTTTAATTAACATTATTTTACATGTATCAAATTATATTCATAATAAAACTATATTTAGTATTTATACTTTTTTATTTAATAATTTATATTATTTATTTACTTAAAATAAATAATTTGTAATCTGTACATATAAAATATTATTTTTTATATCATTCAGTGCATAAATTATACACAATGTGCTACCTCACATGCAATAATGTGCACCCCATATAATTGTATTATGAATTTTACATTATTGTGTATTTTAATTTTAATTTTCATTCTAAATGGTGTGTATTTTATTTATAATAATTATGGACTTGTTAAATTTTCAATAAATTACATTTTCCCCACTTGAACTAAGTTGAAATATGATTAAGTTATCTAAAATTGCACATATTAGGTTTATCAGGTCGCCGTTGACAGTGCTAGTACAGGCGGAGAAGACGACGATAATCCGAGGTCGAGAATCTGCTACCGGAGCATTCATAGGAAGATGTGATTGAAGAGTCAGCGCCGGAGGTCGAGGTGTCGTCGGCGGAGGTTGAGGCAGCGGCGACAAATGTCGACGAACCAAAGCTATCGGGCCGCGATGTTGAGTATGAAGCCATGCTCGTCGCGTTGGATGCGTGTTCGGCGGCGGGATGCAGTAAAGTTGTGGCGGGGTTGCGGCTGGTTCTCAGGCGACGGTGAGCGGGGATGGAGCACGAATTGCTGATGCAGTGGCGCTCTGAGCAGTGGTCGGGAGCCAAGTGTCCGTTCGAGTTATGTGGCCTGTGTGTGTGTGTGTGCGTGTGCGTGTGCGTGTGTTTAGGTGAGTGTGTGCATGTGTGTGTGTGTGAGAGAGAGAGAGAGAAATAAATCAAATTGTGTGTGTGTGTGACTGTGTATGCGTGTGGTATGTGTGTGTGAGAGAGATAGGGAGATAAATAAGGGTTATGATGAGTTTGGTGGTCATATAGGTAGTTGGCAGTATTAATGTGTAGTGGGACCCATTTCTTTGAATGTGGTGTTGAAAAATACCACAATAACCTTAATGAAGGTATAATTTTAACTTTTGTTTTTGTTTTTTTAAAGTTGTTGGATCATTCAATTCTATGGCTTGGATTTATTCTCATTTCTCTCACTAAGACTCTTTCTCATTGGAACCGAATCCTATATATATATATATATATATATATATATATATATAGAAGTTCGCTCAAATGAGAATGAATAACAATGAAATAAATAAGAATGAATGTGGATCACTGGATACATCATATCAATGGTTAAGATAGAGTCAAAATTTGGTCAATCATTAATGACATTATTGTAAATAAGTATACATATTCTCGTCAAATGTATATATTTGACAACTAAACAAGGGCTATTTGGTGATTAAACATTAATTCTCTCATCCACCCATCCATTTGTTGCAGGACCCACCACATAACTGATCATTAGATTCACATGTCTTGCCGCCCATACATAAATTCGCCGGTCTAACATTATTTCATACACACACACACACACACACACACACACACACACACACATACACATAATTCACTGGTCTCGTCGCTAACCTCCACCGGTCTCTCGGCCCAAATCCACCGTGAACCACGACCTTCCTCCTCCACCGCCGTCATCCATCCAGCAAGACAAGTCCTCTCCCGCCCGTCTAGCGACCATCGGAGAATATTATACACACCACAAAAACTCTCATGCCGACACCACCGCTCACCTGCACCATTCCCTCCGCGGGCCATAAACTTTCTCCTCCACCGTCATCATACATCCACCCTGACCTTTCTCCCTTGCACGTTCATTGGCCGTTGGAGAATCACAGATACACCAAAAAACTCTCCAATTGCCGGCCTCCGTCGTCTCGAACCTCACTTCAGCCGCTGCCAATTTCTGTCTCCAACCCCATCTCCGTCGCTCACATCCTTCAGAGATGGTGGAAAACAGAATATAGATGGCCAATTGGTCGAACATGGTTTTGGCCGGAGGCGACATCGACAAAATTGACCTTGAGAAGGTCGGCCACAGCGTCCGCCGTCACAACCTCCATCTTATCCCAGGATGACAATGGTCACGAACTCCATGGAGAATGTCGTTGTGATTTTGGCAATGAGAGTCGTGACTTTGGCAGAGAATTGATGAAGAAGTGCCGTGATTTTGGCAGAGATAATTGACGATGACGGGGGTTGATTTGGGGGTTTTGTTTTTGGAAATTTGATAATTTTTGGGGGCTTATCTGTAATTTTAGAAGTTTGAATATATTTGCATTTTGAGATTTTGTGTAATTTTGCACAATATTGCACATTAATAATACATAAATTGATTCCTTTCAAAAAAATACATAAATTGCACAATATTGCGTGATGAAATGCCCATTAATATCTCAGTCATATTTTTACGAAGGTTCAAATTGTCACCACCTCGTTTAGTATTTTTCATCGGTTGGTTCGGATGACCCGACCAACCGAAATGTCAAAACTGAATAACTTATCAAAGGTTTGGAAAAAAATGTAACAAATCAAATTAAAACAGAACTGAATTAACCAAATTAACCAAAATAAATTATTAGTTATATAATGAAAACATATTCAGTATTTTAATATTTTTATTTAATATTTTATATTATATTTTTATAAAAATAAATAATATATATCTAATACAATAAAATATAATTTTTATATGGTTCGGTCGGTTTCGATTGATATCGTGCAGTCTGACAATCATTAATGTGCATTTCGTATAACATTGTTGTGCAGTTGCAGCACAAACATTTTTTGTGATTTGTCCCAAATAAAACTAAAACATAATTGAAATATTTTGTTTATTCGATCGATTAACCGATTTGCCCTAAATAATAAAATTATTTTTATATCGATCAGTTTAATCGAACCGACCGGTCGGAATGTCAAAACTGAAATCATCGGTTTGAATGTTTGAAAAAAAATGGACGAAAAAAATTAATTGTTTACCATACGGTTTGAAAAATATATTACCGACTAACAATATATTAAACGTGTATTTGGTTGGCGTCGATATTAGGAAAAATCCAATTTGGTTGGTTGTGTATATGCACAATAATAATTCCAAAATTACCAAACTGCCAATGCATTATACATAATGCACAATATTTGTTCATCGGATGGGGTTGGTATTTTAATAATTTACAACAATCTATATATTTATACATATTATTTTAGTGTGGTTGGCTTAAAAATAAATACTATTTTATATAAAAGTATATTAATTATATATTTAGTATGTTTAAAAAATTATAATGTACAAAATACCAATTTAATGTTGTGCACTTCTACAACATCTTGTCTATCAATATTTATTATTGTGCAATATATTGTGCATGTATTTTTTTATGTGCGTTTCAATTTTTAAAAAACTTTAATCATGTGTATTTTATTAAATGATTGTGCACTTATCAAATTGTTTATATAATAAAAATATTCTAGTATTTATAATTTTTATTGATTATTCTGTATTATTTTATATCTAAAATAAATAATATATATGCTAATGTGCATTATTTATGTACCAATGTGCATTTAGTCTAACCATATTGTGCATTTTATAGCACGTGTATTTTTTATGTGCATATCCAAATGTGATTTTCATGTATTTTACTTATCATTATTGTGTATTTATTAAATTTTTGATAAATTACAGATTTAACTCGTGAGCTAAATTGTAGTTTAGTGAAAATTTATGATTTTGCAAATAGGTCCCCATATCTTATCTAATTTTCCAAATGAGCTAAATTTGATTTTCTCCCATAGGTAGCTGAACTTGGCCATCGACTCATGGAGCTTCGACTGTCGACGATGGTGGATTTGCCAAGAGTGAACCTATGGAGGTGGCGACCGACAGCGTTGAACCAGTTCAGGGACTCGAGGCGAGATTTTATTACTTTCATCCCTGAAAACGGCGGTTATGCTGCGTCGATTCCAGACCAAAGGTGCCTAACAGCGGCGGAGGTGTTGAGCGCAGGGAGGAGAACAGGCGGCTGTGGATGGTCTTTAGGCCGCGGATCTCGTCCTTGACGAACTCCACTTGATCGAATAAAACATCAAGGCTGCCGGAGTGTAATTTCGTAGGCGGCGACGGAGCAGGGGTGGCGGGTAAAGGCGGGTTGTGGCGGCTGACCGACAGAGGCCTGAGAGTGGGATTTGGGGGAGGGATACTTGAAGAAGGAGATGTGTGTGATAGATGGAATGGGACTGTGTGAGAGAGAATAGAATTGAGGGAGAGGGGTATGGGGCACGTGTATGTGTCTGGTAGTAGATTGACAATTATATCCTTTATTAATGTGTAATCTTGGTTTATTTTCTTTGTCGTTGGATCATTAGATCTGATGGTTACGATGTATTCTTATTTATTTCATTACGCATCATTCTCGCCAGAGCGCATCCCTATATATATAATATATATATATGGGGGATGGATCCAATGGGTCCACCTCTTAAAATGTGGACGTGAGACCCAATCTCAGCCGTTGATCTGCCTTTTAAATCTACGGTCAGCATCAGGAATATTTATAATTATAAATCTCTCGATCGAATTACAAACCTTCAGCTCGCATCACAAACCTTCAGCTCGCTCGCAACAAAATCGGAAATAATATCTCAGATTTCCTTCTCAATCACGATTCTCTGCTATTTACTTCTTAATTTCGATTTCCTTATCAATTTGAATTTTGATTTCATCGTCTAATTAGGTTTAACTCTCGTTTTCTATTGATTCGATAAACAAACTCAACTGCACGTAAAAAATATCCAGGGAAAAAAGTCAATCAAACTCATCAGATTCATAAGGTTCATCAGATTTATCTGCAATGTCGGCGGAAGCAGCTTAAATGAAGATTGAAGCAACTCCAGTTGCGACATTAATGGAGGAAGGTATACTGACTTTATTTTTTTCCAAATTGATTCATCAAAATTTAATTAAATAAGTGCTGATGAATTCACCATTAATGAGAATCGAGTTATTTAATTAGAATTAATCACGTAATGTTGAAATAATTGTTCGTACTTATCTTCAATTTTGATTTTTGGTAGAATCTCAGTTTTCTGACAAGAATATTAGATAATGTTGTTGCAATTGTTCTGTGTTGATGCAGTTGTTGAAATTATTCTTTGTTGATGCAGTAGTTGTTGATAATGTTGAATAAATTGTTCATGTTAGTCTGGAATTTTAATTCATTATATAATCTACGTACAATTTCTGAAAATCTAGCATGTACGTTCATCGTTTTTTTAATAACTTAGCGACATTTTTTCAATAACCATTTAACAATGTTATAGTAACTCTGCATCTATTTTTGTAAATAACTTCACAACACAGACAACTAACCTTACAGCTTCAGACAACTAACCTTGCAACTTCAGACAACTAACCTTACAACTATAATCCACTAACCTTGCAACTAAAAAAACTAAACTTGCAACTACGGAAAACTAAACTTGCAAATAGATATAACTAACCTAGCAGCAACATAAAACTAACATTGCAACACGATACAACTAACCTTGCAATTGCAATAATTAAGGCTTATGTTTCTTATCATATGTTGCAGCAGGGACTACACATGAGGAATGTCAATTTCAACTGGTGATATCACCAAATTCAACAAAGTATTGGATACCAATTGTCAAAGAAGATATAAAACCTAAAGTTGGCATGATCTTTGGAGATCTGTAAATTGGAATGCAATATTACAGAAACTATAAAGCAAATGGTGGATTTGATGTTCGTATTAGCATGAAAAAATGGTTTAGAAGTGGGATGGTAAGAAAACAACAAATAGTTTGCATCAAAGAAGGATTTAAACTACAATCCAAGACAAATAATTCAGCAAGAGTTCAACGAGAACGTGTTTCAAAAAGAATATGGCTCGAGCAGTGTTTGAATATGATGATGGAAAAGGATACAAAATTACATATTTTGAAGAAAAGCACTGCCACAGTATGACATTGGAAGCACATTATTTGAATGCAAACAGGCAACTGAATTATGGTCATCAGAAGTTTGTCCTTAATTGTGTAAAAGCCAACATTGGATCAGCTCAAACACACAAGTTATACACGGAAATGGTTGGGGGATATGAAAATGTTGGTGCTCTGGCAATTGATTTCAAAAACTTCAAAAGAGAGCTTATGGCTTACATGTCAGGGGCAGATGCACAACTCATCATTCATAAATTTCTCAACAAGCAGGAAGTTTACCCGGACATTGCATTTGAATATGCAGTAGATGAATATAATCAATTAAGCAGGATATTTTGGTAGACGAGATTTCAAGAAAAAATTACCTCATGTTTGGAGATGTTGTTTCATTTGATGCAACCTACAACACTAACAAGTACACCATCATTTCCCTTGAATTTAATTTATATGCAATAACAGACAACTAACATAGCAACAAGAGACAACTAACATAGCAACAAGAGACAACTAACCTAGCAATAATAGACAACTAACATTGCAACATGCTAAAACTAACCTTGCAGTCTAAATACAACTAACCTTGCAACTGTAGGCAACTAACCTAGCAAAGATGTATAACTATATTAGCAACACCAGACAACTAACCTAGCAACAATAGAAAACTAACCTAGCAAGTACATAGAAGTAACCTTGCAACTAGAGATAGCTAACTTTGCTAGTAGATAGAACTAACCTAGAAACAACAGACAACTATTCTAGCAACAACAGACAACTATCCTAGCAACAAAAGAAAACTAACCTACCAACCACAGACAACTAACCTAGCAACAAAAAACAACTAACGTAGCAACTACATAGAACTAACCTTGCAAGTAATATACTACTTAAAAATTTCATTTATTATTCCGATTGGCTTGCTATCTTTAAACTGGTACAAAGTGGTGTTTGTAACATTTACAGGAATTGATAACCATAAAAAGTGTGTCACATTTGGAGCTTGATTGATGGTTAAAGACGACGTGGAATCATACATTTGGTTATAGG